CTGTTGCCAGCCTTGGCACCCTCATCGCTTTCAGCAAGGATTGTCGAGACCGAGGGGTACGACCGGAGTGTCCGCCGCAATGGCGATGGCAGGCCACGGGAACCAAGAGGCGAACGGGGGCTGTTTCTTTGGGTTATTGAAGGTTTGGTATCAATTCAGTGGATGCAGTTAGTTTGCGCACCATGCCACACCACCACTTATGCCTCATTCACATTCTCCGTTGCCGTCGTGAACCTGGCGTCGCAGTGAGTGACACCTCATACGCATTTCACTCGCCCCCCGGGATCCCGTTGTTATCCCCCCATGCTATGCGTCGAATACGATGTGCCCTTATCAGATGCTTACATGTCAGGTGTTGATGAATGTAGAGACATCGTTGCTGATGTCATTTTTTTAGATGTGTCGCGCAGCGGCTTTAATTTTCCTAGTTGGTTGCTTTTTCCAACTCCATTACATGCAGAGGGCCCATCCTCCTGCCGCCCCCCCCAGGCGAGGCAGCTTTGTTTTATAGCTATTTCCGCCCTTCACATTTGATTCAAGTGCCTGTTGCAAGGCTTTGCCGCTCTTGCTCTCTCCTGTACATGGCTGTGGCATTACGTTGAACCTTTACTGCGCCGTTCCCCGCGGCCGCCCGAGGACATGTGTCAGGCCTCCCTGCTTTCTTTCCTCGCTCATCAGACTTGGCGAGGTGCTGTATGGGGAGGGGAAGGACAATGTCGTATGGTACCACAATGTGGAAATGAGCAGGTCCCAAGCGTTGAAAGCGCCCGGCGAAATTATTCACACGGGCTAATGCCTACGCGCAGAAAAAGAAGCACGAGAAAAACCCGCTGAAAACTCCGTGCGGCACTCCTCCTTACTATCTCCCTGGCGGAGTCCCCCGCCATGTCCGATGGCGCCAAGAAGATGCAGACACCGAATCCAAATCCGAGGCGATGATCTTGGCAGGATGACCATACAGGCCCGTAGTCGCAGAGCTTCGAACCTCGTGGAAAGGCGACTAGGGAACGTGACGGAGAGGATGACCATTAATGCCAACGATGTCACACGGCCCTTGTTTCTTCCTGGTCATCGTCGCTACTAGCTGGGGGCGGAAAATGGAAAGCGCGCGCCGGGAAGGAAACGTAATGATTCCCACGTAAACATGAAAGTGGCGGTATTTGGCCTGCGTTATTGCCTTTATTGTGTGATGGTATTGTGCCTGATGGTCAAAGAACGATGGATGCACCGTGGAGCTCCGGTCATTCCTGGGAGGACAACAAATTGCCCGGTGGAGTCCCCGATATCATCACACCATGAGACATGTAATTCTCACCGTCGCACACCCTAATGCACAATTATAATCGTCATCCTTTGTCGGACAGACTCGTGACAGCTTTATACGTGGCAGTCGCGTCGGTTCCGTCTTTTTCCGGTCCTCTTTATCATGTACGGCGGTGGAGGCGGCTTTGCTGGTGGCAGGGGCGGGCCAGGAGACTACGGAGGGGGAGGGCGAGGCCGCGGGGGCGGTGTAAGGCTTGTCACGCCGAAGGGGCAGATGTCAGGAAGCAATATGCCTCCAGCCATTACCGGGCTACCACAAAGTAAGTAGAGAGTTGATGATCTCGATGTCATAGGTCAGCATGAGTATCAAGGGAGAACGATTGACCAGACGAGGAGATGCCTTGTATGTGTTGTCTTAAATCTTTTAGACGAAGTGAATGTATCTATAGAAAAGTTAGAGAATCAATGTTCCTTGAATCGTTTCCTATGCCCCATGAAACACAGACATGCGCGCCATGTTCGAGCCTCGCCCTCCGGTCGAGTTCCTGCGTCTCGCCCCCAAACCCCCTCCGCGACCTTACACGGGAATTTCTCAGTACGTTGGGCTTTTCGAAACGGATGAGCCCCCTCCTCGAGAACGCTTTCTTTCGTACAAAGAACGCAAAGCAGCCGAGCGCGCCGCGTTGATGAAAGTGCATGCGGAAAAAGTTGAGATGGAGGTGGAGGACTGGGATCCGAAAAAGGACGAAAAGGCCACGGAGGACCCGTACAAGACGTTGATGGTCGCCAGACTTTCCTACGATACAACTGAGAAAAAATTGAGGAGGGAATTTGAGCAGTATGGACCGATCCAATCCATGAGGTTGGTGATGGACGCGGATGGGAAGCCAAGGGGGTACGCTTTTATAGAATTTGAGCGTGAGTCGGACATGAAGATGGCATATAAACGTGCTGATGGGAAGAAAATTGATGGACGGAGGATTCTGGTGGACGTTGAGAGGGGAAGAACAGTGAAGGGATGGGTACCGCGGCGTTTGGGAGGAGGTTTGGGCGGGACGAGGAAGGGACCCGAAGACGAAACCACAGGGCGAGGGGCGGGTGGAGGGGCGGGTGGAGGGGCGGGTGGAGGGGCGGTCGTAAGGGAAGAATCAAGCCGCGGAGGTGGAGAGAGTTATCGTGCCCGCAGCCGAAGTCCAGGTAGACGTGCGGATAGGGAGCGGAGCCGTGACCGTGGTGGTGGCGATAGACATAGGGGTGATAGAGGAGGGGATCGGCGGCGGTCTCGCAGTCGTTCGCGGGATCGGCGGGATGATCGAGGAAGGGACAGAGGAGACCGGGGAGGGAAGCGTCGGCGTAGTCGAAGCAATGATGGTAGGTACGGGCCTGCAGGTGGTGGTGACTATTACGGCCCAGGCGGCGACAAACGGCGCCGATAACGTTTCGTGTCTTGGCTGTGTGGACGAATGCACGAATGTGGGTAAGGACGTCGAGAGGGAGCATTGTTGGAAAATCATTAAAGCAATCGAATTGTTCAATAACTTACGTCACGTACATTTAAGAACAGAGGGAAATTAGGTGATGTAAGCATAAGCTAATATATAGAACAATTTGGTGCGTATAATAAAAGCTTGAAGTCAGCATATGCTTCCAATGTCTGGCTACGCGGTGCTATTTTCTTTGGTATTACGAAATCGCCCTAATGATGAATTTATGCAACGATTTATGTGCGTTCGCGCGTGCGTCTGGAGGGAAACCTCCCCGTTCCAGCAACAGCTATGGCAGTTGGATACGTTAATCGGCCGTTTCATGAAACGGTCTTCTGCTTAGAATACCACCTCATCGTATTTTTGCTTTTCTATTTGCACTTCTTGCCGTACCTCATCAAACGATCATACGTAACTTATTCGTATGATTTTATTTCTCCTCTTATATCGGATTTCTGGAAGAGGAAAGTGGACGTCATGGTCGCGGCAAAGGCAATCGCCAGTACGGAGGTTGGAGACACGGGTGTGATGGATGTCGAAGGCTCGCCCCGGACGCCAAATCGACCAAGAAGGAAAAATAAAAGCATGTATTTGTCGCCATCGAGTAGTTTTGGCAGCAACTATTCCTCCTCAGAAGGAAGTCCTTCGTCGTCCTTGGTCAAGCAGTGGTCTAAGACGCCACCGACAAGTCCCAGTAAATTGCGCTCCGAGTACCAAGTACGTTCATGCATTATCGAACAAGTAGACATTGAAGGGTATTAATCCTCTTCCATTTTCATTCGAAGTCACGCATTAACAGTCCTAGCAAGCGCCGTACGTACCTGGAACGCAGGATGTCTATAGAGGCATCATCTTTTAAGAGCTCGAACTCCCCGTTATCCTTGCGACGAAGCCTGTCGGATGGTCTCACAAACGGAGACAGATTTATTCCTCTCCGTGTTGGCGCTCAAATGGAAATCGCTTACTCAATGATGGGCGAAGATGTGGCAGCTTCGCCTCAAGCTTCTTCCCCTTTTCGCGGCCCTGAACGTGCGCATTCCACGCTCCATTCGTCAAGTTCCTTCTCTGCTTTGCCGCGTACTTCTGTCGCTACTTCCTCGTCGCATCTGTTCTCGTCTACTTCTTTTTCTTACGAGACCACCATTGCCGCAATGGATACTGGCGCCTCCAATCCAGCTACAACCAATGGTACGAGCTCGCCGACTGTACGGAGTAGCTCTTTCTCCAGTCCTGCAGCTGGCGGTAAGTTTTACTTTATCAAAACGTGATTCTTCAATGACCTGCTATAAGCATATAGATTTTTTGTACCCCTCATTGTGCGTCTTCTCAAATATATTACAGGTACTAGTAGCGACGCCGTTTCCGATAGAGAACCTATTTTAAACTTAATTCTTCGAAGCGAGCTATTGGGTATGGATAGCGGCCCTCCAGCCCTCCACCCCAGCGCAGGAGAAGTTTATCGTCGAGAACGGATGAGCGAGGATGGAGGAGGAAGTGGTTCCCGTCGGGATAGCTTTAGAGAGGAGGAGAGGAAGGAGGAGGAGGAGGAGGAGGAAGAGGAATATGACAGCCGACGCACAACGACACATATGGCCATGAGCATGGCATCCCATAGTATAGGGCGATCTGCTGGCGTTAAGATCGGCTCTGGAGGCGTGTCACGCTACAGCAACGGTAGCAGCGGCGGCAGTCCAGGCAGTCCGGGTCTGTTACAATTCAAGCCAGCCCGCGAGCGACCCCAGCAAGACCCACATTCCTCCTTCTCCTTGCTCCCCATGGAAACGACTCACCGTCGGTTGCTCTCCTCGCCCCTCAAGGCGAAGCGAAAAGTCAGCAAAACCCCGTTCAAGGTCCTGGATGCGCCAGCTCTCCAAGACGACTTCTACCTGAACCTCGTCGACTGGTCCTCCATGAATGTGCTAGCAGTCGGGCTGGGCACATGCGTTTACCTGTGGAGTGCCTGCACGAGTACGGTGACGAAGCTTTGCGACTTGGGAGGAGAAGATGCGGTCTCCTCGGTCGCCTGGGCTCCGCAAGGGTCGCACTTAGCTGTGGGGACGAGCACGGGAGAGGTCCAAGTCTGGGATGTAGACCGCTGCCAGCAGCTTCGCAGCCTTGGAGGCCACTCGGCGCGCGTAGGAACGATGTCCTGGAACGGACAGCTGCTGGCGACAGGAAGCAGAGACCGTCTAATTTGTATGCGTGACCTCCGAGCTCGAGAGCCGCGCATCAAGAAGCTGCATGGTCATCGTCAAGAGGTGTGTGGCCTTAGGTGGTCCTTTGACGAATGTCATCTCGCGTCAGGTGGGAACGACAACAAGCTCTACGTGTGGAACCAACACAGCAGCCAACCGATCCAGAAGTTCGCCGCGCACACCGCTGCTGTCAAGGCATTGGCTTGGTCTCCCCACCAAAGCGGTTTATTGGCATCAGGAGGAGGCACGGCCGATCGACATATTCGTTTTTGGAACACTCTTACGGGCAAGGCAATGAGCGAAGTGGACACCGGCTCTCAGGTCTGCAACTTGATGTGGTCTAGAAATGTGAACGAGATCGTGAGCACGCACGGATACTCCTTGAATCAGATCATTCTGTGGAAATACCCGAGTATGGCCAAGGTTGCCACTCTCACGGGGCATACATTTCGTGTGCTCTACCTAGCCATGTCTCCTGATGGTCAGACCATCGTCACAGGGGCGGGCGACGAGACCCTGCGATTCTGGAACGCCTTTCCCGGGGCCAAGAACACGGGTAACTCACTCGGAACCAGCCTCTTGTTTCCTGTAGGTCATGATATTCGATGATGTATTTCGCAAATAATGCCAAACTCAATTTAAAAAAATGTAGAGAAACCTTTTGCCTATCCTACATGTACGCCTGTGATTGCATTTGAAAAAGCCTAGAAAGCATCAAAGATTTCCAATTAATGTAGAATTGTACATGATTTGGACAATAAAGATGAATCACACAAAGTAAAACTTGATTTGCGATGTCGTGATCTGTTTTAAAGATGATTCCTGCACACTTCGTTTGCTGCTTCACCTGGGGCTTATCAATACAATATGACGTCACGTGAAGGAGAGCAATCTTGCCGGTCAGACACGGCGTTGGTGCAGCCCGCTAAGGCCTTATGTTTCGACTTTCGGGGTAGGCAAGAGAGGTCAAAAGGATATTACGGCGCTTGGGATTGACATGAAGGCAGACTCCTCCCGACGTTTTTCTGACTTCTCGCAGGGAGCAAAGTTTTCGCCTCTTCTGAACGCGGGGAGTATCTTCAATCATCACCAGACAATGCCATTACTACGTCTGTCCGGTCTGTCTTTCTTATCGATTGGCACAACTTTAATCCTCAATTACAAACCTTACTAATCATTCTTCATCTTCATACCCTTTTTACGCACACCGAATTACTATGCAGGAAAATGAAAAAAGCGACCGCAAACGAGAAGAATTTGGAGACAATTTCTACTTTTCTACTCCCTTTTGTGGCCATGATATACCTCGGTATAGTCTTGAAAAAATACTCGTTGGAGGAATATGCTGATCTCGTTACAAACGAATACCTGTTGCTCGGTAAGTGTTATTTCACGTAGCTCAACTCAAGGTGTGCGTAATGCATGCATTCGAGCTTTTTTGATAGACAAGATGCACTAACGGAGGTTGCAGCCCACACGCATTTCCAGCTCCGGTCCTGATACATTTGCATTAGCTCACACTGGCTTGTGGTCTCGCACACCTTTGCTCAGGTTTCAAAAACGTGGAGGCCCTACGACGGCACCTTGTGGACAACTTGATCGGCTCCTGTGTCTGGGGTCTGACATTTATGTACATTCGTAAAATGGCGAACCCGGAGCTTCGGCAAACAGCCTGGAAGAACACTCAGGTAAGTTATAAGAGGTGGCGAGATTGCGGGCAATGGAGGAGGAGTGCAATGAGGGAGGCGTGGAAGGGAAGAACACCTGACGTTTCGCAACACACACGCTCCACGCGGACCTACGTGCGGACATTGACTGTGTACGTATACATTCTTGCGTCCTCACGCGCATTCATAATAGGACGGTTACTTCGCCACTATCACGACTTTTGTCACGGGGCTGCTCAAAGCCGCTTGCAACAATTTCGCAAACAGGCCATGAACGACGTGAGGGACACAACAGACGTGTGGCGGAAGCCATGATGAACGGATCGAAGTTAAAGTTCAAAAAAATCAGATTGCTCGAAGGTTTTGTAAGTGATTGCTCGCGCATTTTTTGGAAATGATCCTTCTTTTTCTTCAGGCATCTGTCACCCGGTTTTATATACAGTCTTAATTAGCTTCCGCGCGTGGGTCGGCCACGTCTATTGGAGGACTTCCCTTAGAACCAGCCGTATTGGTACATTTTTTTCCAAAGTGTTCGACTCGGCGCAATTGTCAGATCCGTCGCTGGCAAACTTTATTTTGAGAATCCACCTACACTCAGTCCCAGCATCTCGCATGCCATCGGCCCATCGCGGCACGGGCAGGAGCTTGTCGTTTCCTCTTGGCGATGGCCTCTTTGCCCCGGACGCCGTGGTTCAATATCTTCACTGCACTGTACTACACAAGTTCATCGCGTGTACCTCAACTACACTACAGAATTACTATGGAGCGCGTGTTGAAGCAGAAAGTGCGCAAAATGGTGGAGTGCCGTACTGACACGCCGGCCATGCTTGAGGCCTTGCAGGCTATCGCCGCCTTTTATGGGCAGCGGGAGGGGGGAAACACTGCCGAGGCCCGCAAATCCCTCCGTCAAGACTTGGAAAAGCAAAACATGGTGTTGTGTGATGATTTCTTGAGACTCTTCGAAGTCCTCAAGGAACGCTTGGCTGCTTTGGATGCGCACACCGCCAGATTGGAAGACCACTGCCACGGCATCCATGCACGAATTGAGACAGCGGAGGAAAGCATGAGCGCCTTCTTAGCCAAGACACGAGTCTTACAAAAACAGCAAGTCGAGTGTGAGAGCAAAGCAGTACAGCTTCAGGATTTTCTGGACAACTTTACGTTGTCGGACGCTGAAATTGCGGCGTTGCGATATGAAGCTGTAGAAAAAGTGCTGCCTGACGGGCATCGTCCATTTTTTGCTGCACTGGCACGCGCGCAAGAGATCCGGGGGGAATGTGGAGCATTGGTGGGTTCTTCACGACAAAACCTGGGATTTGAGATGCTGGAAGAACTGTCTGAGCATCAAGAAACAGCATTCAGGCGCTTGCACTCTTACATCTTGCAGCGTTGCGCGGGATTGGAGCGAGATGACCCTCAGGAGGAGGTGGAGGAAAACGATGTGGCCTTGGGGTTGGGACTGCGGACGATACGGGACCGGCCCGCACTATTTGTTCACTGCCAGGAGTGTGTGTTGCAACGCCGCAAGGACGTGGTGCGACGCCGCTTCCTGCAAGCCCTGTCTGGTAGGGATGAGGGGGCGGAGGATGGCGACGTCAGGGAGGAGAAAGGCAAAAGGAGCATGAGTGGCAGCGGGCAGCGGCCAATCGACATGCATTCGCATGACCCTGTCCGCTACTTAAGCGATATACTAGCCTGGCTCCATCAAGCGGTGGCCTCAGAGCGAGAGTTTTTGACCAATCTGTTCAGGCCGGAGGCGCCCGGGGGGTCGGGGGGGCAGGGAGAGCGGCCGTTGCCGGGCGAGGGCGTGCCGACTGATGGTCAGGAAAGTGGCACCCTCGAGGATCACAATCAGGAGCTGTCCCAGGCGGCGATGCTGGGGGGAATCATGGAGGGTGTGGTCGCCCTGCTCAAAGCCCGCATCCTCCAGCTCTTGGAGCCCGCCGACTCGTACGGCGTCACAAACCGGGAGAGCAACGCCACCCGTTCCCAGATTTTCCTCCTCTTCCGGCTCCTCCATCTTCTGGCTTTCTACGACGTCACTTTTCAGAAGCTCGGGCTGACTGCAGACGCCTCCGCGCTGGGCAAGAGCATGCGGGAGACCCGCGTAGAATGCCAGCGTCGATTCGAGGGGCGCCTCGAGGCCTGGGGAAGCCAGAGCTTGATGTCCGTGCCCGCTTGTCCGATCGATCTATCTCCCGCCCAAGTCATGGGGGAGTTGGGGCAGTCATTGGCAGAAATCGTCGCTGTGCACGAAGCTTCCCTCGTCCCGCCCGGGGCCCTCGGGTACGCCCTCGACGAGGTCTTGACCGCGCTCATCGAGCCCGCCTTGCGCGCCTGTCGCTCTGGGGCGGAGGGCCTCGGCCCATCCGATGTGGCCCTCTACATGATCAACAACGCAGCGATTCTCTCTGCTAGCCTGACCAGTGGCAGCGACCCTCCCTCCCCAGCGGTCACGGCGTGGGTGGAAAAATTGCGTGAAGAGATGGAAACCTGGCTCGGACTCGTAGTCAGGTACGAATCGGAGACCGTGCTGGAACGCACGGGCCTGGGACCTCTTCTGGACCGGGCGCAGGCGGTGTCGGCGTCCTCCTCGGGGACCCTGTCGGCGACGGCGGGCCTAGACAGCGAGAGCGTGACGAGGACCATGGAGGCCTTCTATCGAGGCCTCTTCACGCTCCCGCAGTTCGAGCGCCTGCAACAGCCTGCCCTTCGAGCACGGGCGCGGCAGCAAACATCCGCGATCATAGCGCAGCGGCACGAGAAGGCTCACGCCCTCTTTCGGCGGGCTGAGAGCGGCTACCCTGACCACGAAACCTTCCTGGCGCATACGCCCGAGCAGGTGAAGATATTGCTCGACTGCGACGACTGAGGGGGGTGGGCGTAGGGGGATGTGGTCGGTGGGATGGGATCAGAGGGCAGGGAGGGGCGAAGGAGGGGGAACGGAGGACTCGAGAGGGGGAGGGTGCTCAACGTATGCTATGGTACTTGGTACTTTAAAGTTGCTACCGAACTTGATTTCTCTGTGAGCCTCCTCCCGGGCGTCACCTCAACAAAGGGACCATTTTACTCCCACCCCCAAAGAACTCCGCCGCCCCGACGTAAACATCGGCGTGGGCATTGATGATGTCCGCGTACGGCCCTGAGGAGGGATCGCTGTCAGAGGGATAGCCCCCCCCTGCCGTCACCACCAGTTTGCTGCCGTAGGCTTCCACGAACTGGAACAGACGCAGGTTGCGCCGTTGGAGGCCTGCGCGCGTGAGGGCCAGCTTCCCGAGCCTGTCACTGGCGTGGATGTCCACGCCCGCCTGGAAGAAGACGAGGTCGGGAGCCTGCGCTTCGAAGACCAAGGGCAGATACCGCTCCAACAGGGACAGGTAGCCTGCGTCCCCGGTCCCGGGCTTCACTTCCACGTCCAGGTCGGACGCTTGCTTTTCAGAGAAGTAGTTTGCGTCACAATGCATGGAGAAGGTGAAGACTCGGCTGTCGTCTTGGAAGAGGACCGCGTTGCCGTTTCCCTGGTGGGTGTCGAGATCCACGATCAAGATCTTTCGAACTTTGTCCGGATAGTCGCGTAGGGCGACATTGGCAGCCACAGCAATGTCGCTAAAGATGCAGAAACCCTCCATGCGCGCCTGAAATGCGTGATGAGTGCCCCCCGCCAGGTGCGCGCCGACTGGTAAATCGCTTTGAAGGACTGCGTGAGTAGCAGCCACTGTGCCCCCCACCGACGATAAGGTACGGTTCACGTGCTGCTCGTTCCAATCAAATCCTGACTCCCGTTTTTCCTGCGCTGTCACATTGCCCACGAGGTAGCGCTGGATGTAAGATCGATCGTGGGTGGTTTCTAAGTCCCGGACGGTAGATAAGGGAGAAGGATGGAATCCGACGCCCGGCAAGGAGAAGAGGCGTTGTTGCGCCTGTCTACGGAACGCCGCGTACTTTTCCATCGGGAAACGGTGTCCTTCGGGCATTTTGACGTGGAATATATCGTTATAAAAAAAATATAAAGGGTCTTTCACGCCCCTCTGGTCTCCTCCCTGCGCTGTATTTGAAGTTACTACTACAGACGAAAATCGCCTCGTCACCTTTAAAGCGGGTCTTAGACTCCTGACACCAGCCCCAATAAAAACTAGACATGCAATCATCATGGCTGCCTCCTTGCGCATCTGATCTTTTCGTCGCTTTCCTGCTTGTACGTTTGTTTGTGGAGTCAGTAACGCGGTCGCTTGACATATGCTCGACCCTCCCCCCCCTCGGCGTGTGATGACTCTTTCGATCACGGTCAGGCCGTATGTGTCTTTTGTATGTCCAATGCATTGCTCACACGGTTAAATTGGACATCGACCTGACTCAAAGGTGTAGTCGTTCTGGACCCAGAGCGAACCAATGTCATTGTGGCCGGGGTCTTTGTTCTCCCCTGCTAGGCAGTCTCGCCGGAATACTTTTTCGAGTTTAAGTACTACCTCCTGGTCAAGCCGCCTCCCCCGGAGGCCGCAGAGACTCAGCCTCACATTCCTTGCACTTCCTCCTCAGCAGGCCCACACTATGGACGGTCAGGGCAACGAAAAGCTGGTTTCCGAAGCCACGTCGACCACAGGTCAAGTTTCGCCCCCCGCCGCTTGCTTAAGCTGCGAGACCTACCTGCACGAGGACGGCCGGACGCGGGTCTCCTCCTCCAACCTTATTCTATTCCATGTCTGCAAGCTCCGGACTGGGACAAAGAAGGAAAAAGCTGATGCCTGCATCCACCTTGGGAAGTACGCGGCGGCCTCAAACGACCTAAGAAGCCAGGTTCTGGCGGCCGGGGGCCTGGCCTCTCTAATTCAGGCTTGGCCGGACGCCCAGTTCGCTTCGGCAAAGGCCATCGCGCATGCCATACTGGGAGTTGACGATGCTTGGGTCTTGCTGCAATTCTCCCGGGGCATACTAGACGCGCTCAGGCTTTTGTTAGTCACCAGCAAGGAGGCCCGCCGGCTCAAGCAGCAGAGGCGGCAGCAACAGAAGGAAAGGCTGGGGCAGCGCGAAGATCAAGAAGGAGAAGAGGAGAAGAGGATGCCGGCGCCAAGCTCAGCGTCGCAGGCTGTGGAAGACCTGATGGCGGACGAGATGACCCCCTGCCACTACCGGCACCTGGTCGCGCGGGTCCTCGCCCACATGATCGTCATCATCAAGCAGGAGTGGCGCCAGGCCTCAGGGGATGCCCCGCCCACCTCGGAGCGGTTCCTGGCCTGGACGCGGAGCAAGACCAAGTCCTCTTCCACCATCACGGGGTCCCTGGAGAGGGTGGTGGAGCTGGCAATGATGCTCGCCGAAGACGACTGCGGAAAAATCCCCCCCCCCCTCGACAGTCGGCCTCGCCCCGGCCCCGACCCCGCCACCCCGTCCCGGGCCCCCGCCGCCTCGGCCCAGGCGTCAGCTCCGGCCCACCAGGACGGCCTCCAGCCCGTGGCCCCCTCCGAGCCCAGTCCCCGCCGAATCAACCCTTCCGACCAGGACGCCACCATCCTCACCGCCTTCTCCCTCGCCCAGACCGCCCACGTCGAAGCCAGTCGCGTCCTCCTCGTGAACCGGGGGCTGCTCCCCATCTTAGAGGAGTGGCTCACCTCGCGCATCAAGGACCTGGAGCGACAGGCCGTCAGCATTGTCGCCTCCCTCTGTCAGCGCTCCGGCCAGGCCCTGGATGTCTACACCCGCGGCTTCATCGACGCCAAGATCCTCGCCTCCGGCATCCTCCCCCACCTGCTGCCCCTGGCCTCCTCCAACGAGCCCGAGATCCGCGGCCACGTGGCGGAGGCCCTAGCGGACCTGTCCAAGCAGACCCAGAACCGGGAGAGCCTTGTCAAGACGGGCGGGATCAGCTCCCTGGTGCTCTTGCTGGGCGACGCCGCCGGCGACCTGATCGCCCAGGCCGAGGTGGCAGAGCACGCTTTGATAGCCCTGAACAACCTGGCCATGGACCATCAGGAAGGGGGCGAAGGGGCGGGGAAGCTGGGGAAGGGCCTGGGGCGGTCTGGCGCCGGCGTCGCTCTCGGCGGGAGTGGCGGGAGTGGGTGTGGGGGCCTCTCGGGGGGGGGGGGGGTGGCAGCGAGAGCAGTCCATGCCTGCTTATCGCCAAGGAGGGGGGCATCGAGCCCCTGGTGACGCTGATGCGGTGCGGAGGTCTGAGTCGCGACGCCACGCCCGAGCAGCACCTCCGGCTTCGGTCCTCCACCATCAGCCTGGCGGCCATCCTGAGCCAGCATCCCGCCTGCCGGGTAGCTTTTTTCCAGACGCCCCACCTGGTGGACACGCTGCTTGCCGTGGGGATCAACTCCCTCAGGGAAGTGGAGCGGGGGAGCAGTCATCGGAACCTTCGCATGCGCAGCCCTTCAACAGGGTGGCGGGTGGCGACCTCGCCCCCAACCGCCCAGGAGGAGGAGGAGAAGGCGGCAT